TTCACATAGTTACTGACAGTGGAATTCAGGATTTGAACCCAGGACATAGTGGTCCTGAAGTGATGCTTTTTCTACCTTGCATTTCATCAGTGAAGGATGGAGTCGGTCTCTGCTCTCAGAACAGCTTCTCTCCTTCCTACCTGCTTCCTGGTTCCAAAACCCTACCCCTGGCCCAGGGACACAGGGGAGAAATACAGGGCAGGTCTTAGATGTTTTCCCCTCAATACCTAAAAATGGTGGACTGCCAGGACTAGAAGTTACCTGGTTTAGCATTTAATCCAACTCATCTTATAGGTAAGGGCACTCACGCCCAAAGAGCTCAATGACTTGTCTAAGGTCACGCAGCCAGCTAGTTACAGACCCAAGGCCCTGATCCTGGATTCAGGGCTTTTTCCACGACTCTGGGCTGTCATTGTACCTGTTGCCCTGGGTGCCGAGGGGTCAGGGCACTGCCAGGCAGTCAGCACCAGGCCAGGTCAGTGCAAGCTCAGCATTAAGCTTTGACTAGAGGGTGCGATGGGTAAACTTTCATTAAAAAAACAAGAAAACAAAAAACCTAACCAATAAAACTAGTGTCTGCTTCTTGTTAAAAACCCAAGCAGTGTCTCTAGAACCACCTAAAAGCACCCTCTCCGGGCCCTCCCCAGCCCTGCTCCCCAGGGGTAACCACTTAGCGCTGTCTCCAGTGGCTCCTTAATTTCCCTGCCAACCATTGGGTTTTGTAGAATCCACGCCACATTGAGGCTATTTTTAACGAGCATCCCAGGCTTCAGGGGGTTGAGGAGAGGGGAAGAAAAATATTCCATTTGTATATTTTTAATCCGTGTGCACATTTGAGCAAGGCAGTGGCTTTCCTGTCTCCACTGCCAAGGGTTGCGGGCAATTGATTAGACTTTCTGGATGCAGGGCAATCCTTTCTCTTCCCTTAACGAGGCTGGAAGGCCAGGAGGGGTGCAGGCGATATTTCCAGGGCTGATGGTTGTCTCAGCTGGCTGCCTCCTGATCCTGCCTGCCCCCAGCTCTCTCCCTCCCGGCTGCCTCAAAAATCCTGGCTGGGTCTCCCAGGGCAGAGGAGGCCTGGGAACCTGACTCTTTGTGCCAGGCTCATATTTAGAAACGTCTCCAGCCAGAGGTTGGCGTCTGTCCCGCTTGGACTCCAGGCAGGGGGTGCAGTCACATGCGCTGTCTTCGAGTGGGCAGATTCTGAGTGGGCAACAGCCCGCTTTGAATATAAACACACTCCTTTTATGCCTAGGAGCTGGCATCCGAGCCTGTGCTCCTGGGCCCTGGGTGAGGGCAAGCACCGGTAGCCGGGTAGGCGATGGAGAGGGAAGGAGGACAGCACAAGGCTTCAACTGGGTAAAATGGTGGTGGAGGAGGGGCCCCAGCTCCCCACCCCACCCCCCCACCCTGTCTGTCCCTCTGTCTCCTGCACTCCTTTTGGGGGGTGGGGGACAGAGCACTGCCCCTGTCGGAGTAGGGGGTCTGGCAGTGTCCTGACCTGGGCTTTCCTTTATCCCTGGGCGGTGAGGGGAGTGGGGGGTCCCTGGTCTATTCAGGGCTGGTCTTGGGGGGCAGTTGGGTGGGACGAGAGTGCAGCTGGATATGGAGCCACCATGGCAGGGCCTTGCTCCATCTCCCTGTCTGACAGCAGCCAGCCCATCAGCCTTTGCGGATGGCACCTGTAAAATGTGGCTCTCATGGCCTCAGCCCCGAAGGCTTGCTCAGCACTGACCACAAAGGTTCCACAATTTCCTGCTCCCCGTTTCCTCTTCTGCAGCAGCATGTGAGGATGGACGAATGAGACTGAGTGATCCGGGCCTTAAATGGGAGCCTCCTGGAGAACAAGCCTCATGCCTCAGCCCTGTAAAAACTCCTTTTGCTTTTAAAACAGTTCCTCGGGAGAGGGGCTGTCGGGCTCATTCAGCTCACCTGATACTTCTTGGGTGCCTGGAAGTGCAGACCTTGTGCTGTCCCAGCCCCGCGGGAGCAGCGCTGGTGGGGGCCCAGGGCTCTCCCTTCATCCCACCCCTCCGCCGTCTGCAGGCCTGCCACCGGCCTCCCAGGACCAAAGTGGCTTGCTCAAATCCAGCTCTGCCTCGCTGCCAAGGGGCTGCAGCCGAATCTTCTGAGAGAATCCAAATGCAGCAGCAGGATTTCCCTCCATCAGCCTGAAACCAAGGCCCTGCCAAGTACTCAGGCAATGGCTGGCGGCCCCCACCTCTCCCTGCCTTGTCCTCCCCTCCCCTCCCCACGTCTCAGGGAAGAAGGGCTCCAAGCAGTGGTCAAGAAGGCTGAATAGATATTTTCTTTGTATCTCCTGGGAGCAACATGGTAAATACGCAATAACTGGATGAATGAACAAACAGATGAATAAGCAAGCGGAGCAAATGAATGAACAAACGGAAAAGCGGTCTCAGCTCCAAAGGAACTTAGCATTTGGAGGAAAGCACCAGGGCTTGTAGAACGGTAGCACTGTGGGGCTGGGGGGACACCTGGGCTGGGGCTCCCCACCTTCTTTGGGGAAAAAGAAGTGCGGGCTCCGAGCCTGGAGGGGCTGGTCTTCTCCCGGAGACCACGGAGGTCAGAGGATGGTGAAATTGCCCAGGGTGAGTGAGAGCCAGAGCCCCGTGCAAGGCTGCCCTACTTTCCATCCGCTGCTGCCCTAAGTGTCCCTCGTCCTTGGGAAAAATTGCCTTTTCATATGGTTGGGAGTGGACGGCGCAATTTTTCTTCGAGGGTTAATTGTTTTGCTGACAGCACAGATAATTAGGAATGAGAATCCCGGAGTGAGGGCGACAGCACCATCTGCTGTGAATGTGGTTCAGTCCCACCTTGCAGGAGGGCCCTCGAGCGTGCCTCTCCTCGTCCTCCCTACCCCCAGCAAGAATTTATGAGCTTTAGCTGCTTGCCTCTGGAGCTATAGCTGCCAGATGACTGTGCAGCCGGCGGCAGAAGCCAGTGACTGGTTTCTGATGGGTTCAGCTGGCTCTCCGTCCCCCGCACATAGTAGGACTCACTGAATTGCTCTAAGGGTGGCTGGAGACCCACTGGGCTGCCTGGGACTCAGAGAGCTAATGCCAAGGGAACAGTGTGCTGTTCTTCCCAAAGCCTGGTGTTCGGAGCTCTGGCCTGCTGTGGACTCGAGGTGGGTGTGTGGGTCTGCCCTGGGCTCTGTGGATGTCGTTGGTGTTTGGTCATTGTCCTGCCTAGTTCCATGGTTTGCCACCTGTCCAGGGTTTTCAGGCTTGTGGCCTGTATTGGTTGCTCTGGAAGGAGCTGGGTTGGCCCCACCTTCTATTTCTAGGTAGGCATTTCCAAGTGGCAACTTCCTCACTGTCAATAGGAGCAGAGCAGCTTTGGTATCAAGCAAGGAATCCCATTGTCCAGGAGCAGATCTTTCTTTATATGGGTGGAAGAACATTGTGGGTTTTTTTTTTTCATTTTTATTATTTAGGAATGTGTCCCCTGTAAAAAAAAAAAAAAGAACATATAAATGTGTATATGCTTTTTGTGAATGGTGATAGTAATTGCCTTGCTTGTTCCACGTGATGAACAAATAACACCCCCAGGGATGCCTTGCCCAGAAATGCCTTGGAGGTCAGAGCTATAGAGGTGGGTTCCCCAGGAGGCTCAAGGTTGGCACAGCCCGCACACCCCAAAGCTGTGGCTAGTTATCATGGCTAGTTTCCTCTTTGCCTGAACTGTGCCTGTTAACTAGGAGCCTGTGCATTCCTGTCTTCCTATTTATCACTCTCTTCTCTGTGTGCTTCCTCCTCCCAGACTTTCCTCTCAGGGAAGAAACCAAAGGCATGACTGTCCTCATCTTGTCTCCGTCCTCCCACAGCAGGCCGAGTGCGTCTGTTCCTTCCCCTTCCCGTTCCTGTCGATCCACCCCCCACCCTGAGGTGCTATGAAGTTAACCTAGGACCAGGGGAAGGATGACGACTGGGAATCAGGGGTTCCTGTCTTGGTTCTCTCACCCTCTTACAGTGTGCCCGTTAGCAAGGTTCTCGAAATCTCTGGGCTCTGTGTCTTCATCTTTAAGATACCCCTTTACATTGCTTTTCCGATGGACATAAGGGCAGCTTGAAGGGTATGAATCATTATGTGTGTTGTCAGACATTGTCTTCATCATGCTAAAGGATTCATGGGACCTGGGGGTGCCTGGGGGGGCTTCTCCACCTGCCACAGCCCCTTCTTAGCTGTGGATTCACTGAGGCTCAGGGGAGCCCAGGGTTGGGGCGGAGCTCAGGATCACAGCCATCTGGAGAGCAGGAACCCTCCCTCTGCACCCTCGGAAGTGGAGGCCATGACGGGTCAGAGGTACATGGCTGTGGCTGGTAGGGACCCAGTCTCCAGAGGTGAGCAGACCTCCTGCCCCTTAGAGTGCAGGCCATGGTCTTGGCTCAGAGATGTAGTCACTCTGCAAAAGCCAGTCTGTGTCCCTTACTCCAAGAGGCTTTCATCTCCACCCTTGTCTCTTGCTCTGAGCCCAAGGGGGTGAAAGGAGGTGCATAAGAAGCCATAGGTGGGCGGCCTGCCTGGAGCCCCCAAACCACAGCAGGCTGGAAGCCTCACCCTGGGGGCCTAGGCTGCAAGAGTTAAGGAATGTCCCCTTTAGATGTGGCTCTGCCTTTTGTGATCTCACCAGTGGCAGGAAAGCACCCAGTTCCTTCTTCTTTCCTGGGACGGTGAGGTTCTGTTGGTGTTATGAGCTGAATTCTGAATACTGTGTAGCATGAAGGGTGGGTCTTTCAGGCAGACACAATGAAACAGAGGTAAGAAAACAGGAATGAAGGACATCCTGGGGGCAGGGCTGGTGGGTGGGACATTGGCCGTGAAGACCCCGGTGGAGATAAAATCCGTATGGTCACCAGGAATTGCAGGACCTAAAAATAAAGAGCAGAAGAGGATGGCTGGAAAATTCTAGCACGGTTAAAACTTGGGCATGTGTTTCTGCTCATGGTAGGCAACAGAGGCCTCTGTTCTTATTGCAGACCTCTTCTGAAGCAGCTGGGAGCTCAGAATGTGTTGCCACCTCTGAGCAGCGGGCCAGCCAGGAAAGCAGGAAGGGATGGTTTGGAGCCCAGCCAGGGCCTGAGGAGTGAGCATAATCTGCAGACCGCTGGCCCTGGAGCCCCCGAGAAAGACAAGCTCCACCACTGGGGAGACTTGAGAAGAATCGATGCTTTGGCCCCCAGCAACATGTACACGGTGTAATGACAGGTAATGAACCCGAGGCTCATCTATCCTCTCTGAATGATATGGCAGGTAGGAGAATGCATCAGCCTGCCGTAGACATAAAATGTCAACCCTTAGAAAGATAACTATGCAAACAAAGTGCCGTGAGGCCTGATAAGATGATAGATGGGTGCTTTATAGTTATTAGTTTCTGCCCCATGCACTCGCTGGAGCCAGGCATCGGAAGATTTAGCATCAGGTGGGTTCACTTCCTATGCCTTATGGGAAGACATGATGCCTTTATAGATGTAGCTAGCACCTCCCATTTGAAGAACTCGAAGTAACACATCAAAAAGTCATTCCCCACAAGCTCCCCTGGGAAGCAAGGACTTGGTGCCAGTGGTGAAACTGAGGCAACGAGGGGTGCAGGAGTGCTTTCATATATCCATGAAGTGGGGACACGTGAGGGATAGATCGGGAGACTTCACTGGCTGGGAAGCCTTCCTGATTGAGATTTCTCCAATGTCAGGGTGAGGCGATGGGTAGTATTCCTTGTAGAATATAGGGAAGGGGGACTTCATGGATCCCTCCATCCCTCCACAGGTGCTAGGTCAAGTAGCGGATGATCGAGGGTGGCTGGGGAAGTCATGAGTGCAGGTTTGGGAGTACAGGAAAGGGCTGGCAAATATCCTGATTCTAGAAGTCGACCCTGGGAAGTCAGCCAAGCAGGAAGCATCAAGCAGGTCCCCAGAGCCTAGAAGGCGGAGGTTTGAGGCTAGAAGAACAGGGAGCCAGTAGGACTGGAGACCCCAAAGGTGAATTCTGATCTGATGGAGGGCCTGTTCCCATTGGTCATCTGGTCTTTACTCTGTGTGTCATACAGGGTACCACTCCGGCAACTTCTAGGGCAGCCTAGGGCAGAAGCAAAAATAGCTTAGGGCCTTGGGAAACTGACCAGGGCAGGGGAAGGACCAATGGCCTGGGGCAGGAGGCCCGAGGGTGTGTGGCAAATTCCATTCCAGTGCAGGCCAGTGTCAGGATCCATAGGGTCAAGCCAAGGGTGGGGAGGGGCAGAGTATTAGGACTTCTGGGTGGCCTTGTTCTAAATCAGGCAGAAAGAATAAGATGAAGAAGGAATTTAGAAAGCTGAGCCCAGCTCTAGGAAATGGGTCAGCCACAAGCACCAGGCAGGCCCAGGACTTAGCTCCTGTGTATAAGGAAGTAGAAGGGGGCGCTGAGCTCTGGGGAGCCAGCAAGGATAGTCAGGGGACTGCTGTGCTTGGAGGGGCTCAGCCAGGGCGGCAGGCAGCTCCTCTGGGTTCCCCAGATGCCAGCACACTGGCCCTGGACTGTTCACAAACCCCCCTCTCAGTGGGGAAGGAGGTCTCTATGTCTCAGACTTGACTGGGGACCTAGGCAGGGCTGACCCCAGAGGGCCCCATGGTGACAGGTGATAGGGGCAGAAAAGGTCCAGCCCCACAGGGTAGTGTGTGAGGATTTTCATCATGTGTGTGGTTTCAGGAAGGTAGGGGCAATATGCTTCCTGACCAAAGCAAAAGAGAGCAAAGGATTGGGTCTGTGAAGAGGTTCTTGGCCTAATTTATCAATATTACCAAGTACCTGTTGTGTACTGGGCACTGTGCGAGGTGCCAGAAATGCAAAGAGGTGTGAGGCATCTTTGCTGCCAAGGGAAGGAATATGGGGCGCAGGAAGAAGCATGGCAGTGGGGACAGAACCAGGACTATGGGAGCCTTGGGCTCCCATCTCCAAGACAAGGACAATACTTTCTCACTCACAGCCTGGTTGGGAGAATTAAATAAAAGAAAATATGCAAAAACACTTAGCACAGCAGCTGGCACCGTAATAAGTGATCAATAACTTGAGTTTACTTGCGTTGTGCTGCTCTTGGCAGGGGTGGGAGTAAAGGAGGCTGGGAGAAACGCATCCTAATTCCCAGCACTTCCAATTGCTAAAGAGGTCTGAGGTCTGGACTCTGAAAACCTGGTTTTCAGGATTTGTCTGGCCATGGAAGTTGTAGCTCAAGATGGATTCAAACACTCAGAAATGGTGACTGTGTTCATGTGCTTTGGCAGTTTGCTGGGCCTAGGGTTCCTTCTGGGTGTCGAGTAGGATGGAGGGCGGGATGGGTGGGTCCAGGAATTTCCAGAAGCGTTGAGAAGAGAGGACATTCTCGGAATGCTTGGAGAGTCTTGGCTCCTCGGCTCGCAGCGCTGTTCTTGGGAGCGGGGCAGGGTGAGCCGGGTGTAGAAACCAAGGCAAGTCTTGGGTCCTGCAGCAGGGCTGCCCAGGGGAGTCTGGGCACCAGTCACAGATGTACACACATCTGTACACACATGGGATTTTAAATTTCCTAGTAGCCACGTAAAAATGGCAAACAAACGTAAGAGAGTAAAATTAATTGTAATATTATGTGTTTCGTTTAACTCCAGGGGCCCAAGTGTTATTATTTCAATCTATAACCAATATGCAAATTATTAATGAGATATTTTACATTCTTCTTTTCATACAAAGTCTTTCGAGTCCAGGGTGTATTTGAGATTGGCAGTGCCCCTCAGTTTGGACTAGCCACATTTCAGGTGCTCATGTCAGGTGGCTTGTGGCTACTGTACTGGACACCTCAGGTCTAGAATCTAGAATATCTTGCCATGGGGCACCTAGAGGCCAGGTGTATCTTGAGCTTAACAATAGGACCTACTATTATGTCCTCTTCTTACGACATGTCTGTAATGCATCCTAGTGGAAATTGGCTTCAATAATCCGAGATGTCTTGCATCACTTGTTCTAGATGGTGATTTATATTTTCTGGAACCAGCGCTGGCTGTGGGTCTCCCCAGCTGGCTCTTAGGACCCCAGCACCTGCCAGTTTGAGGCTGACCTCAGGCAGTTCCTAAAGCTTTCCGAGCTTCCAGAGGCTTTGTGGGATGCGGTACTAATCATTTGTATCGTGCTGGGTAACGATGAGGACTTAAATACAATCACCAGTGATTACTCTGTGACATATGCTGTCAAGATAGAATCCTTGTTATTTTTCTAAATCAAATGAAAACCAGTTTGAGTTCCCCAAAGTTTGGCAGAAGTTTCCTAGCAGGCATTTCTGTAGTTCTGTCCATTGTATGGTAATGATAGGGCTTTGCAGGTCAGGAAAAATGGGGTTGGAAGGTGAGGCCTGGACCCCAACCCATGGCACCAGTCCTGCCTGGGGCCCCTCCTTCTCCAGATCCTCATAGTCGCCTGCCATAGGGAATGTCGGAGCCCCTAGGCCTTCATCTCTAGGCCTTGGACACCACCACTGGCTCTGTTCAGCAGTGAGGGTTGCCGGCCACTCTAGGACCCCTTATGTAAGCTGTCGTCCTAAGTGTCTTGGGACCCACCTCAGGGATCCTGCTCCAAAAGCTGCATGTCCTTCAACTCCTCTGTTTCCATTCTCCTTTGGGACAAAAGCCCACGTCTGCCTTTCCCCAGTCCTCGGCATGCAGGTAACTGCCTCTGAGGCAAGGGAACCCACGGCCGCAGAGTGTGCTGCTCTTTCTGGGGACAGGGAGTCTGCATTTTATTATTTTGTGAATGACATCTGCTTCAGCCACCGGCCCCCAACCACAGCAAGAAAATGGAGGTTTGGGGCGAATTCTGCCGGAGAGATGGAGGTTTAAAGAGAGCGTGTGAGGCAGATCTCGTGTCCTCCTGGGCTGGTGTGGAAGGTCAGGGGGTGTCTGCTGCGCTGGAATCAGTGCAAAGTCGACAGGACAGATGGAGACTCCAGGCCTGGGGGCTGAAGCACTGTTTTCAAGGTTGGATCAACACTTGGTGGTGTCTGATGGGGTCAGCAGTCCTCTGATGCTCACTCCAGTGGCCCATGAGTCCCTGTGCTGCTGCCTCTCTAGACAGGAGGTCCTGTCCCTGGGAGCAGCTGGCTCCTGCCTCCTGCTGCTTCTCCCTGGGGCCCGAGTTCTCAAAGCTGTCACGAATCTAAAAGGATCCTCCAAACCGGTGTCACTGTGACTTAACATCTATTTTAAGAGGTAGTCTGTGGCGCATCTGGAGGACAGTGAAGAGGATGTTTCACAGAATCAAGCACATTTAGATAGAGACGGAACCATGGCTCTTCCGAAGTTTGCTGTGTGATCCTGTGCAGATCGCTCACCTTCCCCGGGCCTCAGTGTCCTCATCTATTCAGTGGGCATGAGAGAGCGTACTGCAACAATGCCAACTCCACATGCAATTGAAAAGTAAGAAGTGCTTAGGAATCTTGGTCACCAAAGATCGAAAGTCTTACAGCAGCACCCTTTCTTTCCCTCGCCAGGCCAAACAGTTCTATTCTTTTAAGAACAATTCTATTCTTGCAATTCTATTCTTTTAAGATTGGGGTCTCTGTTGCTTCCTGGGGGCCCATAAGGAATAGTTTCTGATATATCCCTTTACAGTTTTGCAGCAGGCAGAGGCAGAAAGCCACATTGCCCTTGCCTGACAACCTTCATATGGGTATTTAACAATTTTAATTTTTCATGATTCCTCTGATAAAAATAGTGCCTGACTAAAAACAAATACGTTTGTATTTTCCATCTCCTTAATTAGTTTCTAATTTGGGGGTTCTTATTAGCTTAAAATCATCCTGCCGAAATGGTCCTTGGATGATAAAAAATGTGAAAACCACAATCAATTCTAGAGAGATCTTGGTATTTAATTATGCTGATTGGAGCACTAGAGACCCCTGGCAAAACGAACCTCTCAGAATAAGCTTGATTTGTGTAATTTGGTTTTTAAAAATTTTGGATGCATATTTATCATCTTCAGCTATGTGTTCTTGTTCTCCTTGAGATTCTGACTCCTCTTCTAGGAGATGGGTGGAGCAATCTACATGCTGTTTGAGACCTGGGATTCCAGCTGAGTGCACAGAGTTGCTGGTAGGGCCTGGCCTGAAGGGAGCACAGTGCCCCCAGCTTGACTGGTCATTTAAAAATGTATTTTCTTAAAAAAAAAAAAAAAAGGAAAGGTTAAACGTCACAGACAGCCTAAAAAAGGATATA